ACTTTAGTTTGTGGGCAGCAACAAATAATTCTGCGACTACTGCATTAATTGCATGCAACAGTATATACTGCTTATTTTGATTATCTGTTCTATGCCTTAACAACTATTAGGCTTTGTTGCTGAAGGCAAGTGTATCGTGGTTGCTTTCATAAAGGTTTATCAAACGGAAAGACAACAGCTATCTGAAGTCACCTTTTACCGATTCTTCCACTTGAATAATATTCCATGGCTCATACACAACAATGGGCAACAGGTCAACTTTCAACAGGTTTTAACTATCTTGTCTCCGAGTATTCCAACCATATGCTTATAAAAATCACAAATCAATTCTCTGAAGCCTCCAGTGTTTTAATGGCTACTAAGCCTCTGCCAAGAGAGATGGAGATAAGAATTCCCAAGGCACCTAAGTTGATTACAGTTTGTCTGTTTCTTAAATTCAATTTATTTTTCTGCTGCTTTTATTGCTTTTATGTCTATGTTTGGAATGAATTGCCTTCTGGGAGGGAGTAATTTGAGTCTTGGAAGATAACCAACATTTCTTTGATGAAATTTTAACTGAATTGCCATCAAGGATAACATTCATCATTTGGTGCCTCTGTGTGTGCGTGGGCATGTGTGTGAAGAGGTGCGTGACTGTGCGCAGGCACGTGCAAGAGTTTCTCTGAATGTGTGTGTGTGTATCTGAAAGAAACACAGCAATAAATGTTTATATCATACAAAAACTGTGCAAACCCTACTTTAAGTATACACATAACTTATTTTCACACACAACAGCCCCAAATTACTATTAATGGACACAAAGTTACATTATCTTATAATTATAATAATATAATTACTAAAATTAGTTTGATTGAGGTCTTGAAAGACAGTTTCAATTTTAGTTTAGATACAGGTTTAATGAGTTTTTATTTTTTAATTTCTAGGAAGGACATCAACTCTCCAGACAGTGGCATATCAGCGGACCACCATGACACAGAGTCGGAGACGTCACCCGGGGATGTCAAACACAAAGTTGGTCCACTGACGGAAGACATCTATGCAATTCCAGAAAGAAGATCAAAGGTAGGAATACATTCCATCAGTTCCCCGAAATTTTCTTTTGGCAAGTTAATGAGAGAGACAACCAACACTTTTAGAAAACTCTTAGATTTGAGATTTCTCATTGTGGCAAGTTGATGTTTAGATGTAATTTGTGTTTTATTTAAATATTGCCTGTAGGTGACCTCAGATTCTGTAGGTGATTATGTTTGTTTGGATGTTGAGAATGTGTTAGTGGTGATGCAGTGACTGGGATTGTGTTTTGTGGCACATCCAACATTTGGATTGTGCTGTCCAGTTTGAATATACTAGTAAGTGTAAGTTGTAAGGAAGTGCTTGTTACTGCTTACATGTGGGTCTGTGATATTAGTGTTTTTAATACTGATCAGATATTTTACCTTTGCTAAGGGTATGATATTTGATTTTGTTTGGTAATTTAATTGAATTTTATTTATTTTAATTTTATTTGTTTGTTGTTGTTATTATTGTTCTTCTACTTATTTATTTATTTTGATTTTGTGGCCATAAAGATATTTTGCCATAAATTATTTTCATTTCTCCTGATACAGCTGAACAGCTAGAACATTATATGCTGTGATCTTAAATGTTCTTTATGCTCTAGCCATATATGTTCTTTATGCTCTAGTCTTAAATGTTTTTTATGCAGCAGTTGTTCAAATGCTAGGAAAAGTGTCATCCATTTATTAGCTGCTGTTGCATCTATTACAGGAAAAAAATCCTCAGGCACAATTAGCTTTGACAGATATAAAACATTGCCTTGACACTTCTTGATACACTGGTCTCATATACAAGGGTATCTATTTAAGTTCCTGATTATCTGTCAAGGCCAGATCTATTTCAACTTTTTCCTTTTACAGCAATACTGTATGCAGGGCCTTATGCAGAGGGTTTTCAAGGGGTTGGAAAGATGCACAATTTGATTGGGGAAAGGGTCTGATCTGATTCAAATTATGGTCTAGGTTTTATGCCATTATGGTAGGAAGGTCCACTTTTACAGAATAAGAACCCCTTTGAAGTTGTTGGCTATGGCCATTGTATGGTCCAGCAGGCTTGCTCTGTCCACATGCTGGTCAGAGACATGGATGGTCAATCTCGGGTCTTTGTTGTTGTAGTTAGACATGCTTAAAGATTCTGAAATATTGCTTTGAAGATGGATTATGGATAAGAGAATTCTTCTTTAAAGCTGTTTCTATGAAGGAAGCACTGCCAATGCCAATTTGTTCTCTTTGTTATTTAGTCGGCAGGAAGGTAGAAAAAATGATGCTTCTTTGGATAAAAAGCTCAGAATTTTGCACATGGCAGATTTGGACTCTGGCTGCTACAAGTAAGAAAGCTGCAAATTTTTTATTTTATCTTATTTGATGAAATCTCCAGTGCTTTTATATATTTCTGATAATGATTAAAGATTTATGCCAGGGGATCATATATACTATAATACTTGCTCTAAATGAACAGTGGATGGATTAAGATGGCTGTCTGGGTATTCCAGAAGGTTATTAAAAGTTTCCAGAGAGACAATTTTAAAATTGTTGGCCATGGAAGATTGTTCACCTAATGGAAGATCATCAGCCTTGTGTTCTAGACCCTTCTCTGGTGGCTGTGCTTAATTACCATTTCAATGAAAATTTCCAGATTTCATTGTTTGGTATATGTATTATTTAGTTGTAATTGTGGTTGGGGATTTCTTAGAACAGAGAGGAAGTGCAGAGATGTAGAAGAAGGTGTGTGTAAACACATAAGAACTGCATTGAACTTGCTTCAATTTGATTCTCCATTGCAGACAAAATAGTCTCTTTTCTGACAACAACAGATGGTTCTTAAATAGTGATCATAGACTTTATTGAAAAAATTGTATATTTATTGCATCCTGCGATTGGCATAAGTAGGACATTCTGAGAATGCAGAGGAAATTCTTGAGCACACAGTGAAAACAATATATCTGAATCAGTCATTATTTCTCATGATATTATTCTAACAGAGACGAGACACTGCATCCAATGGCATGCGGCGAGAATTATGTTTAAATCTTTAATCCTCTTCTAAACGGTTCGAGAAATAATCCTACATGTATTTACTGCTAATGGCATGGAATTTCTCAGAATTAGCATCCAGAGCAGGAGTGGTGAGCACTATGATGGTAAGACTAACAGGAAGGGATATAAAAAGGGAACATCTCTTCAGCTTCACATGGGTGAAATGAGAAGCAGTCTGTTTCGTCATCCCTTTCAGCTGTGGAACAATCCATGTGTAAGTTGTTTTTGTCATTTTCTATTTTTACTTGTGGAGGAAAAAGGTACCTCTTTGATTCACATAGTTTAATAAGTCTATCAGATGTAAATGATGGATATCCATATCTAATTTATCTGTATTAATGTATTGTTATAAATGATGCTTATAATGGCAGGCAGCAGGATTTTCATTCAGATAGTTCTGTGAACTTTCTTTATTTAAACTAGCTGTTGTAGGTATTGTTTTGAAACATATGCATTTAAAGATCATATATAATACTATAATAATTGGTCTGTTCTAAGTAATAACCAAGGATGGATGAAAATGGCTGTCTGGGTAGTCTAGGAGATCGTGATTTTCAGCCAAATCTGTTTAAGTATCAAATAAAGTGCTGTGTCCAGGTACTGATGTAGATGGCAGTCAGAATGCCCTTGTCCTTTCTATCCTTGATGGACTAGATGGTTTCATCTCATTTTATTTTCCAACCAATCTAAACATGTAAGTTTCTGGCTTCCTGGTGAACTTTTTCCTTCAGTGTGACCTGTTATAGCCTGTTTTTTTTTGCCTAGAAATATGCCCCACAGAGTTATTATCAGACTAAAACAAAAAATTTCCCAGAGAAATGAAATCTGTAAAGTATTTTGTTCCACTGTTGAAATGCCCTTGTTTGGCTCACCTACCACAATCGGAGATGCCACATCCAGGAACTGAAGATCACACCTACCACAACTATGGCCTTACTTACTTACTCAGTTGTTTGATCAAACATTTAGTTCAAATACAGCTATCTATATAATCATTCAAAAACACTCATTTTTTAATGGAATATACTGTTATTATATATTGTGCAAATCAATTTATTATATGAATTTGAATTTTACCATTTCCATTGAGATCAGTTGTAAAACACAGCACAGTTGTACCAATAATGTTCTTATACAGTAGGTAATAGATGCATACATATATTGTCCCATCCATTATGGGTATAAAAAATCCACTTTCTTGATTCTGTTGGGAAAGCAACCTTACTGTGTTCTCTTTAGAACCATTATTTACATAAAATGGTTGAGAGTTGGTCAGAGTTTTGGCTCCATAAATCTACCGTTCATCGAGGGTAATTGAATCAAAACATTATAACATCTTGTGCCAGAAAATTATTGTCTTGATCGATGAAACTTTGTACTTTCCTTGCTGGATATGGCTCTGTGTCCAAATTTCATTATAGTCAGTCAATATTAAGCAGGAAACACTTTTGGATTGGAAAAAAGATTAACTGTTTGTAGAGTGCTTTTCCAAGGAGACAGGTGGGATTTGTACAGGATATTATTTTTTTTTTCAACCTAACTCAATTTTTATATTATGCTATTTGATGGGAAGAATTACCACATCCCAAGGGTGATAATTAGAAAACTAAGAACAGATTGCAATTTTCTTTCTGGAAGATCTTTATAAATTAATACAATCAATTTTTAAAGACTTTAATTTATTTCTTGGATCCTACTGCCTTTGACTAAAACCATATAGAACAATATTTGGCTTCAAGAGCCATAAATGTTTTGCCGCATTTTAAAATATTTACTCCCAAATCCAGATTAATTGTGGCGGGTGTTTCCCAGCACTTAATGGCTCTAGACCTTGGAGAGAGATCAAAATGTTGGTGCTAATGGCTGCACTATATTCCCTGGACTACCTTTTTTGCCCAGTGCACCTAACATATCTGCATCAATATAGCAATGGATATCTAAAAGACATGGCAGCAAGTGAGGCATGCATCCTCTTCATAGTCCCTGGCTTGCTGCACATTGAGCCACTGAACCATGCACTGTCAAGTGTATTCCAAAAGGACAAATGCATCGAATATGGTTCAGAAGCAGCAATGTGGGCTGTGTCATAAAGTAAAACTTATTTGTGTAGCTTTTTGATGTATTTTTCTTGAAGTGCTGTGAAGTTGATTTTGACTGTAGCCAAATGCACATCAGGCATTGTATTTGGGGGCCTAGGGAATTTGTGTTTAAGAACAGCAAAGTGATTGTACAAGATCAGGGGTAAATTATCTGCTGCACAGAACTCCACCCGGGGACAGCGCGCTGTGCCGAGGGTTCGCTGTGCCGACAAAACCGGAAAATTGGTCTAAAATCGGCTAAGTTTTCCGGAGCCCCAAAATCAAAGGTTCGCTATGCCGAAGGTTCGCTGTGCCGAAAGGATCTGGTTCGCTGTGCCGAGGGTTCGCTGCGCCGAAAAAGTCGGCTACCCATCACCCATTGTGCTTGTTATATAACGTGACGAGCAGTGGCCTTTTTTAAAAATAAACGAGTTTAAAAAGTTCTCTTCTTCCATCCGTACCATTTGAATTTGTTAAAACTGCGCATTGAAAGTTAATCCTAATGGACATAAACATCTTAAATCGCTTTAAATAATCAGTTCTGTAAGTTAATTTATTAATTATTTTTGGCACTATGGGCGTCACCCACTTTAGGAAATTACTGAAAGAAAACATTCTCTAATTATTTTTGGCGAACTTGTTGTTATTGGGTGTGTGTAAAATTAACATCTTTTTATTTATTATCATTATACTTTTAGTAGTCGTTATTGTCACATGCAGTTATTTTAGCTTCGTATTTTTGTTATTATCTATTTAATTACTATTTATTATTTATTTAATGACATATAGTTTTATATTTGATTAGTTTTGGCCGGGGGTCGTCGTAGAAAATAAAGAATCCTTGAACAATCCTGGCAATAATCCTAATAAAAGTGGAGCAGTCACATTGTCA